TTGTTAGCTTATTGTTTGATTCATTTTTTGCTGGCCGTCTGACATTCAAATACTCAAAGGTACTGTAAAAGCGCTTGCGCGAATAGCGCAACGTGCATGGAAAAGCGCATACATAAATTCATATAGTAAATATTAATTTTTTTAAGAGGTTTTATGCACTAACGTATCCAGGCACTCTTGGAAAAAAAGAGAGCCAGGTCTGTATGAGTAAAGTTGCAGTTTTTAAATAAGGATTTACAAACACACATAAATACTATATGTACATATGTACATACTTAAGTATTTATTAATGAGTCTAATGTCACAAACTTTTTTGTAATGCAATTGTTTACTCTAGCTTTTTGTTGACTTGGTACTAATGTCACAAATAAGCACGCACCTATTGTAGTATGCATGTACATTAGGGTGGTCCAGAAAAAATAAGGTCGGAATTGTAATGCTCTCACCCCCTAGGATTGTTCTATATCGAAAAAAGTATACCCTTATTTTTTTATTTTGAAATTAAAAAATATTTAGAGGTAGCTCAAAGCGCTCAAATTTTTCATTTAGGGATGTGTGATTAATCAATTAATCGAACAAGCTGGTTAATCGAAAGCCGATTAATTAATTAATCAAATATCTATTATTTTTCATTAATCTAAATAATTAATTTCCCGATTAATTACATATTGATTAATCAGAATCTAATTAATTTGATTACTCAGCAATTAATATATATCAAATTATGCTAAATGAACTTTTCTCTCGAAGTTTACACTGCTGGAAAATGTAAATAAGGATTAAAATTTAAAAACTAATTAATACAACTAAAGTAAAATCTGTGGAAAATTACATTTTCGCAAAATCTATAAAGGACCCTTTTATTTCTCAAAAAAACCGGGGTAACAGTTATTCGTCGCTACGCTGTATTTTCACTATTACCAAAGGATTTGAGAAAAATTAGATTTTCGACCCGCCCTAGTATATAATTCTTGAAAATCTATATTTTTCGTTCGGAAAACTCTGGTTCTCTTCAGGAGACTCTCAATAATAATACCCAATTCTTTATTTAACCATTTTTAAATACTAACGATTTTTTATTGGTCCGCCCATTGCATTTTTCGGGATTTTTGGCGGACCTATAAATTATAGTTGCGATGAAGAAATGGTTAAATAAACAATTGGGTATTATTATTGGGAACCTTCTGCAGGGGAATGATAATGCAGATTGATTCGACCCTATTAAGCTGGCATTTCAGGGTACTATTTTATATATATATAAGGAAAATTTGAAAGTTAGGGGGGGGGGGGGCTCGAGCACCCCCCTGCCCCTACCTGGCTACGCCCATGCACGTAGGGTAACTGAAGGTTGAGGGAAACATAATAATAAGCAGTAGCTCAGTATGTTGATTGTTGCTCGTTTCCCGTTTAATCCGAAAACGAGCAGGAAACGCTTGGAAACAGCAAATCAACCTCACCTATATTTACGGTGACCATCCGTTCTGTATTATACGGGCAGTCCTCTTTTTTGACCAATTGCCCTGGTAATTTATTTATTTTATACGGGACGCCAAATGTTCTGTATTCCTTTTAATGTCCTCTATCCGTCCCGTATTCGGTGTGCGGTATTTCTATGCCTTAAGAGCTCACTAAAATGGTATGGTAATTTTCTCCATAAACAGTTATTCATTTCTAATCTGAATGCCTGTGATTCGAATCGAGGAATGTACTATATACAGTGACCAAAATATGAATTGGGACTCGACATTTTAGTAGTAAAAGTAAAGCTCTTCCTAACAAAAACCATATAAATCCAAATTTCCAACTTTGTGCAAAAAACTATAAAAAATAATTCTGCAAAGTCTCCCGGAACTTTTTAATTAGAATCTTTTGAAAAAAAATTAGCTACTTCAAACATGCACTTTACTGTACTAAAATTTAAGTAATTTTTTTTAAACAAATTTTGTGTGTAAAAATCTTGAGAAATATTTCCTATACATTTGAGAAGTTACATTAAGGATGCTGTTTCAGGTCTAATACATCTAGGGTCATTGAAAAGGGTTTTAAGATCTGTTAGTTTCTGCGGAAAAAATGAAAAAAAATATATTTTTTTGTCCCGGATTCGGCCCCCATATATATGGCCAGCGTACCTATATTACAAAACTTTTGTGCTAGGTCAAAGTTACCTTCCTAGCTAAGACAGAAAGTGTCTCACATGCCTACTCTAGGAGATCAATAAGTCTACGCAGTTGGTGTCGCAGGGACTTTCAATAGCGACCTGTCTGAGGCAATAGTAAATTTCCTAAATAAACCGGACGCCGAGGTCGACCTTATCAGGTCGGTTGGTTGAAAACTGTTCCTCCGCTTAGATGAAAACCCTAACCTCAATAGTCGGCCTTCTGCTAACATTGTCTAACGGGATGAAGTATGTCGACAAGATCTTTGGCAATAAGCTTTACTGGAATCCAAACATTGAGGAAAGAGTGAAGAGGGTATCGGTGGGGTCTCTATGACTCTATGATACCATAATTAAACAATTTGTATAGTCTTTATTGGAATTAATGGGACTCTTCGGACCGACTCTACGCGCTTAACGCAATTCTAAACGTTGTGTCCGTAGATATAGGAGGTAAAGATATTGCTCGACTAAATTTTGTGGTCTTTAAGTTCACTTCCTGATATGGCTATTCGGGGTATGCTGATCCCGAGTGGATCCTTCACCATCGTCATTGCATCCAGGAAGGGCTGGATGGAAAACCTTTACCTGCGAACTTATTCTCGGATGGATCGAAGTTGGTTGGAAAGGTAGTTGGTAGTGTATTCAATGAGGAACTCTTCAGTCACCTAAAATTTTGTCGACGGAATAACTGCAATATTTCCAAAGCTTAGGTAGCCGCAATTGGATTCTAAAAAGTGTATTGCCGTATTAAGGTTAACAAATAAGGTTAACATGTACTTACAATTATGATAGCCAGGCGGAAATCACGGTCGTTGACTCTTTCGAGGATATGCTCGAAAATGGTAAAGGAATTCCTTAGTCCTCTCTCGGTGGTGGGCTCCACTGGTTTCATGTACTCTGCTACTGCAGCAGCTTGTATGGAGTATGATGAAGTGGAATTACTTCAACAGCTGCTACTAAGCTTAAGAATTTAAAACCTTGGGTCTCACTCCTCAAGCATTTTCGAGAATAGATACTAGCCATTTTCGAAAACCTCTAGGGGTCACCATTTAAACAACTCTGGCTTAGCTGACATGTGCCCCATCTGTCGAAGTGTGCACCATAGTTAGTCAGTGGCGTTTTCTGTCTAAGTCTAGTTAGAAGTTCGACTCGATTGAGTGAGAGATCAGGCAATGTTTGATCAATTCGGAGCCATCAGTATGTCTACTGCTTCTTTAATGGAGAGCTTATGACAGAGGACCTCACCAACGGCTATTAGACCTCCACCAAGTTGTCATCACTGACTTTGAAAAGTTCACCCGCATACCTACAGCTCCGGAGCATTGTTGCCTTATTTCCAATTATCGCTCGAATACTTTTCCCATCCAAGCTGCGTTCTTCACTTTTCCTGTACTGCGGTGATGTAAGCCTTATGGATTTCTAGGACATCCAGAGCTTGAAGGACCGTACATTCCAGGTACATATCTGTAAATCATATACCTTACCCATTTGCAGGGGCTGTCAGTATTTGTATAGAAAATGCTCCAAACTATTTTATGTTTTTTATTTGGATTTGTTTTTAACGTCGCTTGTTCCAAGCCCATCGCACAAGCTTTTTTAATATTGGCTATCTTTTGTCAGTCCCAAAGGGTCTCAGTAACGCATTTCAAGGCCATTGAGCACCCTGTATTGGTTACAGTAGAAAATCGAAAGTTGTTGTAGATATTACAAATACCAAAAGGAAAAAAAAACTAAGTGGGTGCCTGCCCCGTTTTCTACGACGACATTTTTTTCGCACATACAAAATTTGGACCACCCTAATGTACATGCACCAAGAAATGCAAAATTACTAAATACATACATACAAATATGTATACATTTATGCGCATTTGTCTGCCCTAAATATTTTAATGGATTGGTGGTTTGTGACTTATTTAATAATTTAAACAGAAAACCGCAGACCTTGATTTGTTGATGTCCTGGACTCCCGGGTATTTTAATTCCCAGCATACACTAATACATTAAATTATTATATGTTTACAAAAAAGGTAAAGCTATTGATGATTTGATTTTTGTTTTAAAATAACATACAGTTGTAACTTATTAGTTTGCTTGTACAGCCTTGTAGGTTTATTGTTTTTGTATTCTAATTTTAGTAAGTGCTACATAGTTCTACGACAAAGTGTAAGTCCACCGAAGGTAGCGAAATGTAAACGATAGCTCTCACGACAATCGGGTCTACGTAACCGGAACGACCCAGATCTATGTATATCTGGCCAAGGACTGCCCTCCTGCATCACTCCCCAAAACCTATATTGGGAGTTTGTATGCTGTTACAAACAACAACAAATGCAAACGATACATATGTACAAAAATGCGGTATTTTTTCTATAATTAAAAATTTAATTTATTTTGATGAAATTAAAAAAGTATATTTTTGTGCTTATAGTAAATATTATTAAATATAAAGCATGCTCTCAATTTCATAAGAATTTTTAAATATTTTAAGAAACATCTCGCAGAAATATTATTAAAGGTTCCTATTGTTTTATCTTAATTTACCAAATTTTTTTCATTTTATTTTGTTTCATTTTCTGTTACTTAACTTGGTATGAAACATATTTTTTACTATTTAAATGAAATGCTTTCTTTTCACTTGTTTTTTTTCCTAATGTTTAAAGCATTTTATTTAAGAGAATTAAAAAAAACGAAAAGCGATTTGCGCGGCATCTACCTTTTGCACTATGCAACCGAAGGGCGCCAGCAACCCTGCTCCATTTTAAAAACAACAAAGGCTGTCATAATTTGACAAATAAAACAAACGAGTTAATTGAGCAAAAGTAACGAGCTGCAACACCGAGTTCACACACAACAAAATTAATAGAACGATCGAGAACGGACTGGCGTGAAAATTTTCGATAGGCGTTTCAGCCACGGGAAAAGTCTAAAATAGTTTAAATAAATTTACAGGAAGCTTTTGCATAACATCTAAAATATGACACGTAAGTGCTTTGGACCTAAAATAGTGTTTATATTTGTTTCTGTTTGTATGGGAACACGTAACAAGTTGCGTTTGGGTCTACGATGATGTGCCATAAATGGCCAAAGCAAAGGCAGCGATTTTTTTGGTTTGGAAGGTGCGTAAGCTTCAAATATAATCTAAAAAAAATGTCACCCATCGATTAATTTTATAAATTATCTTCTAAACAGGTTAACTTTTTTTTTTATTAAATATGATAAATATTCGTTGTTTGAGGTAATGTCGCCATTTTCAAGTCATCCCCCTTCTATGGGCGTGACCTTCGATTTAAAACTTGTTTACTTTCTCATTTTATGGAAATAGACAAAATACCTTGGGGAAAATACGCATGGCACACGCCTTCTTCAAAAAAGGCACAACTCGGAAACAAATTGAGGTTGATTTTTGCATAAATAAATTTGTAGGATTTACCTTCAATTAATGCAAATTTGCAAATATTCTCCAAATAGAAAACTACTGTTATACATGTTTTTGCATTAATTTTAAAGTGTGTGTACGATATACACCTACTACATATAACCCATTTACTAAAATAGTTAGAGCGTTTCAGAACGTCTACGATTTGCAGGTTTTGCAGGATTTAGTCCAAATTTCGACAAAAACGGCTTTAAAATTTTGAATTTAGGTATGTATGTACATATGCACATACTCCCATAGTAAAGATGAATACATCATACATATTTTGCTCCAGTGAGATAATGGTAATCGATACAGATATGAAACATAGAAGAAGAGGTAGTGGTAATTTCTGCCTGAACTCAATACTTGTATTTACACTATTGAAGTAAATGTGTGAAATAAACGTGACTCAATAACTTTAATAATAAATATTGGCTCATGTGAAATACATAAGTATATTTTAAGGTTTGACTTATTTGATTATTTCTATTGCGGAAGTTTTAACAAGTGTTTCTTTAAGATACGCGGTAATCGAAAAGTGTGATCAAGAGGCGAATTTGACACGTTTGTTCAGTTCAGATTTTCTAGCGTTTTTAAAGAAAGAAATGTAGAGTAACATAAATAGGATATTCTAGTAATGTATACAGTTTTTGTTAAAGAAAATTTGCGTAAAGAGCTGTAAGCTATTGTCCTGGTTAGATTTGTTTAAGTTTTGCAATGTTCATTGGCAAGTAACTTCGTACTATGAATATGAAAAATTTTTTAAAACTGGTATTTGCTTCACATTGAAAAGCTATTGAAGTATCTGATTTTCATTGGCGCAGATGCATTTTAATTATGCTCTTTACATACATTTTATCAAAATATACAATTTCTGGATGCTTAATTTACGTAAATTTAAATTGTAAAACTGTTAGCGAAGTACAAGTTTTCAGAAATTATAGCTTATGTAAATAAATATTATCTATACGGTGATTGATGGCAAGTTAATTCCTATTTTGATATGAGTTAATCCTATGTTTAAATATGTATACCAATATGCCTAAGTTATTAATTGGTTTAATCTATGTATTTAACTATGCTTTACAAAAAACTGATTGTTCATGTACTTTGGAATGTTCCAGGTGGAAATCAAAGAGATCTTGCCCGCCAAAAGGCCCAGAAGAAACTGCAAGAACTTGGCAAGGGTAAACGCAGTGATAATTTAACAGTTGAACAGAGGAAAGCAAGGTAATTTATATCGGCGTATTTAAAATAAGGCATCGTATTAACATTTTTTTATATTACCCATTTATACAGAGATGCCGAGGTAATGCGTGAAAAACAGAAAAAGAAAGAGGAGGCAGCCGCTGCGGCAGCAGCTGGAAAAGTCAAATAAGCTATAGCAAACATGCGCAGCTAGCCGTTTCATAGCAGGCATTTAAGCCGCCACAATACATAGCTCCCGATATAGAATACATCAACAAAAACAACAAAATCATAAAAGCGTACATTCGGTCAGTCACTCAACTGGGCGTACATGTGCTTAGACTAGAAAAAGTTGCCACACAGTTGAAAATATAGCAAGAAACTGCACAAGTAGATATCAAAACTAAAAACAGCAACATAGGAGAACATTTAGCTAATTAAAATATAAAATTCCTGTAGATATATGCCCAATATTGATGCAAGAAACCGAAGCTGCGAAAATATTCACCTACCATTACTTGCATATACACTATATCGCGTAATAATTTGTTGTTAGTATTCGCCATTTAAGTAAATTGTCCTCTCCCTATATTTTTTTTCACAATAATGATTGATGTTGATGATTTTTACCTGACTAAATTTTAACATTACAAATGGAATATATTATTGCATTAAAAATTCACATTTCGGAATCATTATGGAAAAAAGAAAAAGATTTGAATGAAGTAAGTTTTATGTTGTAAGCAAGAATTAGCAACCTTAAAAAAGAAATAAAATAAAAGTGAATAAGCAACATAACCAATTGGCAATATGTAGTGCAGACCAAGCGAAGTAAATGAGAGAGATAATAAAGAATTCAATTAGTAATTAGTTACTTAGTATTTTAAGACGATATTATGCTACACAAATTATATACAAATAAATATGTCAAATCTAAGCAAAACTAATGAAAAAAAATTTCATAGCTTTATTTGTACATATGTAACTGGACAACTGACAATATTCTATAATTACAGTCAATTAGAAATAGTAAATTGTGCGGCCAAAACGTACGTTTGTCTAAAAAAGTATCAAAAATGGTTGTAGAACATACGATATCGGCTGTTTATCTGGTTCAATTATTCGAAGAAAACGTTTTCACTCTGAAAGAATGTGATTCTTTTTCACACATATTTACAGGAAACCAATCAAAAAACAAATATTAGAGTCAGCAATTATTTTAATTTCGATAAATATTTTTTATATAATTTTAATGTGTTGCGATTCTTAGCATGTAGCCTTGCAAATCGGCTCGCCTTGGTTCAAAAAGCTCGATTTTCTCGAATTTCGGAGACTTTTGGCCTCATTGCGTATATAAGTGGTAAATTAGACCAATTGCACGACTTCACAACATTGGCATTGCCTACGGGCGTGCTGAAATAAGTAGATGACGAAAATCGTAAATCTGTCCATTGCTGCCAAGTTGCGTTTTAATACATTTTTCGATACGACTCGACTCTGGAAACGCGACTTGCACCCAACACGACACTCACAAAGAGGCTGTTTATTTGAAAAATACTCTATAATCAACTTAGTGGAGAGTGCACTGTACGCAATTACGTCTAAAAACCTTGCATATTTATAGGCGTTGTTTGACAAAAGTAAGTCCCGGGAAATGTGATCTTTCGAGTAACTTTCACATGCGGGATATCCGTGTCGAAATTAACTTGCTATCCGCGTATTTCTCAAAGATCTTGCCCTACAATGGGTGTTGATTGAACTACGATGACGGTCTGATGAATTGTTTGCCTATACAGCCTTGTTGTTGTAAATCTGCCTTATGGCGTCCTTCGAAGGAAGTCCTGACTACCAGAGCTCGTTCGGGTGCTCGCGTCGATAGAATCCGGCCAAGAACTGGGACTTTTTGAGCTTTGCTAGCCTACGACAGTCCTCCGCCCCACAAAATTAGCGCAGTATAGTTATACTTAGTTGTTTTGGTGATCTAAATATTTCAGAGGACATTTTTCATTTTTATAGCCGAGCGCACGTGTGCATAAGGGTATTATAACTTTGTTCACATAACGGTTGTTTGTAATAGCCAAAACGAATCGTGATGGATATAGATACATAAATGATCAGAATGAAAAAATAAATCGATTAAGCGGTGGCTGTCCGTCCGCCCGTCCGTCCGTCTGTGCACACGATAACTCGAGTAAAAATTGAGATATCTTAACGAAACTTGGTACGTGTACTTCTTTTCACCGTAGAACGGATGGCATTGAAAATGAGGAAAGTCGGACAATAACCACGCCTACCTCCCATATAACGATAGTTTTCAGAAATACGAAAACTGCGATATTTTAGTAACTATTGAAGCTTATTCACTCAAAATTGATCTTTACAACGATTCTTAGACGACGAATAAGAATACTATAAATTTTTGGAAAATGGGTAAAGACCCGCCCACTTTTGATTAAATGTGTGTATCTTGGTAACCGCTCTACCAATTTCTGCCAAAATTGGCACAGTTGCTGGCTTTGGTACAGCATACCAAACGGCTGAAAATTTAAAAAATCGTACAGTAATTTCGATAAATACGAAACCTTCGATAAATCAGTAAATACGTTTATGATAAATTTTGGAAAATGGGCATTTTTGATATAACGTTAATTTTGAGAAATGCTTGAAATTTCGATATTTAGAAATTTAATGACGCTAATTTACTAAAAATTTATACTAACAACAATCCTCTGAAAAAAATAACATTATTATTGGAAAATGGGTGTGATACCCCCCACATATAACTATATAAGTTTATCTCATTATTACTAACTGAACGTTCTATCGGAGATGTTTGAAATAGGCGTAAAACCACCCCTGCTTACCATGTAACGGTAGTTTTCGGAAAGGTGAAAAAACTGTCTGTACATAAATATGTTACATTATTCGAAATAGAAGGCTCTAATATCGCGTCCATCTTTTGCCTGTTAGATGGTTCTTCAGTTTTCACGAATGCTGCCAAGTTGGTTTCAGTTTCGCTGTCAGACTTTGAACTTCCCGAAGCCATTGTCGCTACACTCTTCTCCACGGGTCTACTATCGTCACAGGGCTGATCTGGTCCTCCTTCACAAGTGGCGCTCTTTTGCTCCACATACCATTTCGAGTTCAGACCCACTGGCTTTTGACCCCAAGACTCTTGCAACGTCTTGAAGTCCTTCGGATCCTCCCTGAACGGCTAGGCGACGATCGGTACTTTTAACTTGGTGGGTGGCTTTAGAGAGCTTGGGAAGTAAAGGCCATCATGCTGCAGCAAATCTCCTCAGACGCTGTTCGTTGGCCACACAATGATGAGTGTTTGTTGCGCATACCTCTCGGTTCCTTTCACTTTTGTGAGAGCTAATAGGCTTTGTACTTCCGATACCATTTTTATAATTTTGTCAGGTTGCAGCTGCTGTGTGCTTCCGTGTTGGGATTTTACTGCCATATGAGATCCCGGTGGGGCAGCAGCTTAAACTGAGGCGGTAGTTTTTAGGAGATAGCAGAGTTCCTCCGTAACCGGGCTTTTTGAGTAGCTCCGGAATCCATTCGTCACAGGGCTTTATGAAGGGCAACAACTTAATTTGACTTTGATATGGGTCTTGTGACCCCTTGATCCGGATCTGAAAGTATGCAAAAATCTAAAAAGGTTTTGGGCAGGAATTTTCGGTGAGCTGAAAAATCGAGTAGTTTGTTAGCATACATACATATCGTTGTTTGAAGTGCAAAGCCGCGTATCATGGTTCTGCAAAACTTCGCAACTGACATTTATGGAAAAAAGGCGATTTCCTCACCAGAAGTTCCTGTGCCACCCAGCCTTATCCAAAATACACGACAGTCGGGCCTGCCCTACCGAAACGAAGCAGACTTATTTCTGGCTATGGATTGTCATCCTGCCTATTTCAAAATGCTGTTATATAAATTAGTATATCGATAACTGATAAATATATCGATAACTGATAAATATATCGATAAATACATTGATAACCCAAAAATTTATCGATAACTATATCGATATTAATGTCTATAACCCAAAATTTATCGATAACTATATCGATATTAATGTCTGTGAATTTACATTGATAAAAGTTATCGATAACTATATCGATAATATCAAATGTCAATGAATTTATCGATAGCATTATCGAAAAATTATCAGTATCATTGATAATATAAACTGATGTATCAGCAATTATATCGATTATCACATCGGTAACGATAAAGATACCATCTGATAATCTACTGTTTGACTTTTTGGTGGCAGTACCCAAAACATTCCATCATCACCACTGTCAACTTTCTGCGTTGCCCTTCACCGGTCCATATAAGCGGCACGGCTCATTTATACGTAGATTTTCTCTATGAATAGTAATTTATGCTGTTCACAAACGCTTTTAAACACCTTAACATATACAAATTACTCCCATCTGAGCTAAACCAACAGTGTTACAGTGTTGTAACCGAGGAAAAAGAAAAACCAAAAACAAATGAATAAAAGCAAAACAATGTACATATATGTAGTAAGTTACCGCAAACAGCTACAGACATTCGCTGCCACCAATAACAGCAATGGCGCATTGAAATACAATAAATTCCGTGAAATGTAAAGAAAGTAGTAGCTGTGAATGACATCGCCAACGACCCACGACATCCTCCTGCTGCGGCTGCATTGCAACAGAGAAAACCCACTTATAGCACTTCGCAGCAGAACCAACTGCCAACCGATAGATAGGCCTGCCGGCAGGCAGACTAATAAACAGAGAGAGACACAGACAAGACGACAGACAGCCTTGCTTGCAATTCAACCGCAATCGAATGCAATTCCAACATCGTTAGCGTGTCGGCTTAAATGGTTAGGCGGCTATTGGCGGCTGTCGCTTGTTGACTATTGCTTTATCTTACAGCTTGTCCATATGCTGATATTTGTATGTTTGTGCGCTGTCTGTTTGCCCACCGCTGATTTGGTTTATCTTACCAAAACAACACAATTTCCGTATATAATGCTCATATTGATGACATACATACATACATATGTACATACATACATACTGGTAGGCATACGTATTTGCACCTATGTATAACTGAGCAGTCAGCAATGACAATAACGCGCCAGCGCAACCCCCCGCGGCGCAGCGTCACCTACAGCAGCAGCTGCCGCCACAAACGAAAAGTTCGATTAATCGCGCAAGCCGCGCGACCCACAATGTTGCATGCGAAAAGTCCATTGTCCAAAAATGGTAATAGGCAAAAACAAAACAAACAAAAAAGCGTTAGCAAAAAAGTGGTAGCCGAGAAAGCCGAGAAAGGGAATTTATGTCGCATACATGGACGCGCGCGACGGTGGCGCAAGATGCATGCAACATATAGCGATTTGCTATTTGTAATAGGCCGAGTAAACAAACAAACAAAGTCGGTAACGGATATTCGATGTCGTCCACCTTAAATGGTCAAATGGCTCATTGAACGAAGGCACAGCTGCAAAACGTTGGGAACTGGATATGTTGTTGTTTGTCGAACGTTATTGAGTTGACTAGTCGGCGTGTAGAGACTCTGCCAATGGCCAACACAAATTCTAAGTCGATTTTGGCTACATAAGTAAGTGTGAGTTGAGGCATGAAAATGCTGGCGGGCGAGGTGTCTTCTTGACTAATGGACACATGATTTGCTTGGTTAGTGGATGTGGCGTAAATACAAATCAAAATTCAACGAGAACGACGAAAGAACAAATTACTTGGATGGGAATTGATATCCGTTCTATAAGATTGAGACATAAAAATTTTCGTTAAGTTAGGTTAGCATTAAGCGTTAAGATCCATAGCGTTACCAGATTAACTACGACCACATTAGACAGCTAATCACCAGGAGTACCAGGAGCAATGCATCTACAGAGGACATCGGAGTCCTATTCGCAAACTGCAACATTTTGTTGTACCCTATTTTGGTAGCGGCTTCCGAATTAGTCAGAAAGCCTGCTCCAAGGAGACTAATTCGCTGTCCGCTAATGGCAGGATACTCGCAGCGGATATCTTCCACTCGCTCCTCTTTCGTCCTGCACCACCTTTAGATCTTGTCATTGGTCAGAGTCAGTTTAAATTTGTGCGATGGCAGCAGGCAATGTTCTGTTAGAATACCAACCAGCTGCCCACTCTACACATACTCCTGGAAACCACTACACCTTCTACACCTTCCGAATCATGGACAGATCGAGCTCACTCGATCACTCTTCTTTTCTTTTTTTGATGTTAGCCGGAAACGGCTCGATTGCAGACCATGCGGAATGGGGTTGCGCACTTCTAACCACTACCCTACAGCGGCCGCCTAATTAAAAAAAAAAAAATGAATTCTATACTCGGGATGTTTCGAATGTCATATTTTTCACATTTGCGAATGCGAATGCGAATTTTCCGAATGCGAATGTTAGCAATAACATTATAAAGCCATAATCAACTTAAGTCATCGTTTTATAAATTGCACGGTTCAACAAAATTTGGTCGTATTTTATCTCAAAAAAAACGGGGACAACCTCATTTTATAGATTTTTTGATGCTGATTCGAAGTGCATTTACAAAATTTTTCTAGCACGGCCAGTTTTTGAGAAAAAAGCTTTTGAAGTGTCTAAAAATGGCAAATTTCAAAATTTTTTGGACTTATGGCGCTTTCGTTTCTACCGAAAAATTTTACCTTAACCTTGCCCTTTACTCATAAATACTAAGAAGAGGGCAATAAAAAAGCAACATTTTTTGTAGAAACGAAAACGCCAGTAATTTTTCCGAACAAAAAAAACGTATTAATGAAAATCCAATTCGTCTGATAGATTCTACCTCATGCCGATAGATTGAGTAGAGGGAGTGACACATTTAGGGGATTCACAAGACGTGTTAACCGTCGTAAAATCTTAAGCTTAACACTAGTTTATGTAAAATAGCGGTTAAAATGGTTGGGGGGTTGGCTAATTATATATTCTTTATCAGTTTAAAAGAATTTCGGTTTAGTTAGAAATCCCCTAAAACCATTTTAATTAAAAAAGATGTTAACCTTAAGATTTTACGACGGTTAACATGTCTTGTGAATCCCCTAATTAAAAAAAAAAAAAACATAGTAAAAAAAAACACTAGCGAAGAGCATGTCGAACGATTCCACCAGGACATAACCACTATGGAGAAGTGATACGATAAAAATACAATTCACAAAAAAAAATGTTCGAGGAAAATTTAAAGAGACAAAAGACTGGCAACTGATGAATCTGGGATATTGATTTTTTAATGTTGATTTGTTCATGACTTTTTTTTTGTTTTTATTCATTGATTGAGATTTTCGTATTTGTGGGAAACAAGTGCACGCTATTGAAGAACTGAGTTTTTTTTAATTTTTCAATGCAAATATTCGCAACATCCCTAGTCTATACACATAATAAATTTGTAACAGGCCGATTTAATTGATAAGATATATTGAACATCGCAGTATGGGTATCAAACTGAAGATGAAATTTACTGCCGGAAATATTTTTGGTAAAATAAACGAAAAATATTACACTGTGGCACAAAAATTAACTTTTCAAAATACCTAGAGTGCAAATATATCAGGTTTGATAGCTGTTGGCTATACGAACAATGCCTCATACTCAGTTTTACTAGATCAATTCGTGTAATTGAGAAACAAAAATTTCATGACTCAAAAGTCTGAGTGTAGCGGCCAATTTTTTTTCATACCTCTATAGTATACTATATTACTGTTTTAAATGCCAAAATTTGAGTCATATTCCGATCGCATTGCAAATTTTTATTTTTTTATTTTTTGCCGCGGTCTAATGTACATACTTATGTACATATGTATGTAAGCTAGTGCAAATCTTGATTGTTTGGAGTTAAAACTTTTTTCTGTAAACAAGGTATCAAGTACCAGTTCAACAGCCTTGTCATCGTTTAAAAGAACTACTTATTCTGATTTTATTTGATAGTTGCCACTTCACAGTAACATACCGAGTACTTGGAAATGCAACATAAAGATCAAATCTTAAGTACACTGCGCGGGAGTGAAAATCAAGATATGCTACATATTTGTATACATATGTACATATATGTACATGTGTACGTAGCCAGTATTACATATGTACATACAATATTTCATTCGTCATTCAGTGACTGCAGGTGTTGCATGCAACTGATGCCGTTGTTAGGCGGTCAAGGCATGCATTTATATTTACATACATATACACATATATGTACATATATGCCAAGTATTTAAGTAGATTAGATTAAATTAATATTTAGAGAAGCCGGCAGAAAACCTAGTTATTGCGACCAAGGATGATCTATTGTATTTAGCAAGCCTGTATTTGTTTACAAATCTTCTTTTTTGGTACACTTATCGTTAAGGAACCAAGTGAAAGCCCTTGTCTAAAAGCCAATTGGGGTTATGTGCCTCTATTTATGGTGATCCTAGTAAGGGAAGTGCGGGCCTCACGGAGCAAAAAGCTGTCAGGTTTGACAACTGCTGCATTGCCCAGCAGCAGTGCAGTATGAAAGCTTGCAACTGTTTGGTAAGACAAAAGCATGGAAGTTAATTAAATTTTCTTTAAAAACCCAATTCGTTTTTCATTGCCCGAATGCATTCTACTTAATTAAGAAAGTAACAAAAAATATATCGGGCAAAAATTATTACTTTTCAATTAACGTAAAAATATGAGATCAACATTAGGGTGCGCTTGCATTAGGGTGGTCCAAACATATACAAAAACAAATTGACTTTTTGTATGTTTCTGGCTGCAAACTTTTTGACAACTGAAGCCGGCTCATAGAATCGCATGGAAAAAATATGAAATGGAGCCTGAACACAAAAGCTAGACGAAAATAACAAAAGTCCTTTACGAGGTCAGCATCTTATTGTCGAGATAGTGGAAAAAAAATTAAAGAAAACAAGGCAACTACGTATTACTGTATACACTTGTGTTTTGAAAATGTCAAAAAAGGTAATCAATTTTACTTTACAACGTAAATAATCACGACTGGAAGGACAACTAGAAAATAGTGGTTTTCTCCGGCGTAAAGCTAAATTTTGATGGCTTTAACGGATTTAATAATAATTGTTACGATTTTTGAAAATACGAATGTTTTGAAAAAAATGTCGCTTACGTTATTTTGGCGGTGAGGGCTCGATATTTCCGCACCTTGTTTTGGATTTTGCTAGCAAAATTATGCACCGATTCGCATTACAGGGGCTGTAAAAACGAAGATAACGAAGCAAAGTCATAATTTTTTCTGCGGTCGTCCTTTTCACAGTACTTATTTGTTTGCTAAAGCGTGGAATAAAATCCAAAGTATGTGTTTTCTCCATTTTCGCCATTTTTCTTGTAAATTGATCATTCCTCAATATGAGATCAAAAACAAACTTCTCCGATGCCCAAAAATCCAGACATAAGCTCAGATCTGAGGAAAAAATATGTATGTATGTACTTATTCAAGTGAACCGAGCTGTATACATACATACATATGTTTTCGTAAATAGCTATAAAATCCAGGGGAGTGCTAGTACGCAACTCTAACCAATCAGCTAAAGCCGCCGTTAAAAAGAACACTTTGTGGTTTTAAATAAGTTTAAATTTTTTAATAACCGTTTTCGTATTTTTTAGAAGTTGGTAACCCAAAATATTTTTTTTATTTCTATTCAAACGCTTTTATTCAGGTTATATGGTTATGTGATTATATTTTTTATGCAGTTTACAACAATAAAATACACTACACAATGATAATGTTTAACCAGGTAAGTGTGAACAACTTCAATAATAATTTTTGACCAGATAACTCGATAACCAAGCAAGTGTGAACAACCTCAATGAATTTTTTTTTAAAAGGGTGTTAACCGAAGATATTTTATTTTAATTATCTTCAAACGCGTTTGTTTTTAGTTTAAAAATTCTGTTGAGTTTTTAAATAATTATAAATTTTCAAATAGCTGGTAACGTTATTTTTCAACATTTTTTTTACCACAAGCCGACAGGAAACATCGAGTAGAATGAAAAAAAAAAATTAACAAATCCGTTGAGCTGTACGTGCGTGATTGGGTTACTAACTCATCAAATAACTCATTTTTTTTAAATAGAAATATAATGGCATTTTTTTGTTAATTTTTTTTAACAAAATTTTAATTGTTAAATTAAACGGTAATAACACAATGTCGGATGCTACCTATAAACCTATTAGAGGCTACTTAGATAAGTAGTAGCTACTAAATAAAATTCAACGCGCTTATACATATTAGCTTCACGAGTATGTAAAAATGTCTAGCTTTTTAATTAGAATTCACAGAAATATTTGGAATATGCAGTTTTGTAGCTAATTTAAGTATAATCACGGGCAAGTTTAAAGTAACTGGGACTTACGGTTGATTTTTGGAAAGTTTTTTTTGTAGAAGAAAACGAGCAACACTTCTTAATATCATCGAACCTACTTCATATGGAAGAAAATGACTGGAACTGTCAACAAAAAAATGTCAAAAATCAACAGTAAGTCCTAGCTACTTCAAACTTTTTAAGAAATCTAATTAAAAAGTTTGAAATTTACCAGACGCCATACTGGATCTGCCATTTAGAATTTCGCCGAAAACTCCCTCGTACGAAATTTTTAATCATTTCTTTAAATCTTGGAATTTTGAACGCATTTTTGGATTTTGGCCGCATTGTGCAGCGGCACAGTTTATATGTATATCAATTGATTTCAAAAAAAAAAAAAATAGAGTCTTCTTATTTTTGATATTCTCAAGTTCCGGGGTTTGTGAGGAAACAATTTATGGACCAGCCTAATGTACATACATACATTCATATGGACACATAAATTCACTCGAAGCGTTCATGCAAAGCTTATTACGTAGGTACATATTTCTGGATACGGTCTATGTAAATTACATTATTTTTTTCGCTATTGCCTAAAATCATACACAAATATAATAATTTATTTTCCAACCTTAATAGTATATGTACATATGTATGCATGTAATCCCACAAGTCTAGTGACGTCACATGCCATAGAACTTTAAACGCTCACGTAAGATTGAGAGCAGAGCAAAGATCTTTGCTGGCAAGCATTTTACTCGCAAGATGTTTATACAAAATCTGTGAGATCTGCGCAAGATCAGCGCAAGCAACTGACTAGCTGCCAGAGGGGCTGACTGACTGACTGTCCGACTGACTAGCTAGTCAGTCAGTCAAGTAGCAGATCAGCGCAGTAGCAACCATAACAACAATAAATACTTTAGCAAACTGTTGAATACTTAATAAACAAATGAAAAGTTTCGCGACTGCCAGCTGCCAGTGGAACGCTGAAAATGCTCAGTCGTGAATTGAATTACGTTAAGAGCGGACATACTACTCTAACTAAGCGTACAAAAGCGGTGTGGCAATTTGGGAAGCGAGCTCGTCGTAAAACGTCATATTGAGCTGCTTGTTGATATTCGTTTTTGAAAAAATATACTATAGATAGTACGAAATAGCTTGCGCGAAACAACAGCGAAAAAAAAAAATAATATCGCAGGTGTTGAAGGTCGAAGCCGATGACTAAAGTGTGCAGATGTCGTTGTTGATGTAATTGAAAAAACTAAAAAAAAAAAAAAATAGTAAATAAAAAAGACTAGCGAGCGTATATAGAAATACGCAATATTTTCAAGTTCATTGCAAACAAGTTGACACATAAAAAATAAATTAGCTACAGTTAAAGTGTACATATATACAGTAATCCTATGTGTATTTGTATATAAAAACCGCAACAAAAGGAAAAGTAAAAAAAGGCTGAGTTTTGAAAAGCAGAATAGAAGATCAACGAAAAATTTGCAAACTAAGCCAAGAGCGCAGAATTATTAAGAGGCTGTAAGTGCTAAGAAAATTAAGAATATTAGTTAATATACTAAATATGAATACAGATTTGTTATATAATTATGGTACAAAAACAAAATTAAAAGATCAGATCGTACGGTATGAAAGAATAAAATTATACTAGCATATGAAAAGCTAAGAAATTGTAAAATTGCAATGAAATAAAATAAAATAAAAAACATCAAAAAAGCAAAAAAACATAAATAATAAAACATAATAAAATAAAATTAAATAAAACAAAATAAAAAAATTCAGAAATATTAAAAAATCGAAATAAAATAAAATTATGAAAAACGAAATAAACTACAAAGGGTTTGAACAATAAAACACAGTTAAATTATTTTAAATAAATCGCAAAAAATAAAAAAAAAAATTATAAAAAACTTAAAATAATGTAAAATGAAACAAGGCGAAATAAAATCAAATACAATGGAACATACTAAAATAACAATATAAAATGTATAATAAAATATAATAAAGCAAAACCAAATCAAAATAAAAAAGTAAATAAATTAAATTAAAATCAATTCTTGCCTATTCTGTCGATACACAAAGACCAAAGGATGGTCCCGAGAAACAATAGCGATATCGCTTTAAACTAGAAAATGCCGCGAAAAAGAGGTTTAAAAAGATCTTCAAATCTTTAGCATCCAGGGTAGCGTAATTTGATTTTAAATCAGGCATTAATTAAGAAATCTATTTGACTTGTTGTTTAATTCGTTGGACAAAAAAAAAGAAAATATATTTGTGGTTTGATTCGTTGGTCAAATTAAAAAAAAATTACATATATATTTGTGATTTAATTCGTCGTACAAATATAAAATACATTTTTTTTTCTAACTTATTTGTTAGCCAAATAAAAAATTAAGTTTATTTGTGATTTCATTTGTCAACCAGATTGATTGACTCATGGCTTTTCAACTAAAAAATACTTTTTTATGTAGCGCAAGGACGACTTTCGAGTTTTGCTCTACGAATCAAATCACAAATAAATTTAATTTTGTAAATATAGATACATTTTATTTTTTTTCCGACGAATGAAATCACAAATAAAATTGTATTCCTTATTTGATTCGTCGAACAAATAATAAACTTATATTATTTAGGATTTAATACAACTTTCACTTTACAAATCAATTGCATATTTTATTTGTGATATGACTAATTAGTACCAAGCCTCTCGAGCATAGTTTGAATGGAAGAAAAAATTTTCAAAAATCAACGCCAATTCACATCCACTTAAAACTTGCATTTTATTCTACTAAAATTAAATGGGCTACGAACCTGCATATAGGAAATTTTTCTAGAAATATTATTAACTTACTTGCTGCAGGACATATGGATAGCGTACCCCTTTGTTGGCATTTTTTTTAAATTTTTATAAAATTAAAAAATTGGATTTACACGTATAATATGCCAAATTTTCACAAAAAATTAAATGATATTAAATAAACAAACGGAAAACTGTAAACAAGCACTATGGATTAAAAGGGTGCGCTATTCAAATTCAAAACAAAAATTGGGGACTCGTATATGAATTTTTCGGGAGTCATATATGATCCAAGTTATAAGCCAGCACTTTTTGCCAATATAAAAAAAAATTAAGATTCGAAATTTATTTCTATCTAAACTTCCCACCAAACAATTTGTGTTGCCGGCAATAAGAAAACGTGTCGCCCTCGGAAACAAATTTATTGCCGGTAATATTGCCATCGAATCGATTTCCTATTACCGGTCGCTCTAAAACGTCCGCCGAAGGCAACTCGCTTGGGCGAGTCGTTTTCTTATTACCTGAATGAGTCCTTTTTTTATCGCTTCAGGCGATATTTGGAATAATTTTATTCTTTTTAATACTTCATTTATTTTTTTGTATACCAAATTGCAACTTACAATCGGAATTAATTCATTTTCTCGCTGTGAGGCTTCCCATTTTTTCAATCTTGTCCTTGGGCATAGTTTGGATGCTTTTGGCCAATACTAATGACGCCATATTCATAAGTTTCGGAATTTTTGAGAACTTATTTATGCAAAATTGACATGAACGAAGTGATGTTGCCGATTTGTCACCACAGCAATAAATCGGTGAGTCGTCAATTTGTTGCCATTGACGATTGTTGCCTATTTCTCATGTTTTGCATGGTGGGTTGTTTATGCAGATATGAAAAATAATGAGGAAACAAAAAATAAACAAAATTTAGCTTTATGTACATGTCGCACCGTCTTCAAAAAAGTCACAACTCAAAATAATACGTTCGTCAGGAAATGCGAAAAGCTATTTCGTACCACATGCTAATCCTATGGGGAAGGGCGACTTTACCTTAGGGTTTCTTTATTTAACAAATTACAACAAAAGTTTGCTCCAGCTTTTGCTGAAAGGTAAATAAAAGCTCTGTGGTAATTTTTAGCGCATAATTCAAAAATGTCAAATTTTGAGTTGTGACTCTTTTGAAGACGGTGTGCGATATGAATATCCATAGAGGTACATATGTATAGTACGTATGCACATATGAATGATGGTATTTAAAAGAAATTTTTGCTGAGTACCTTTACAAAATTTGACTCTAAAATGAGTTTAATAAGAATCAAAGAATAAGGCCAATAAGACTCAAAAAACAACCTAAAATAAGAGTCCGAAAGTAACAATTTATAAGGCCAATAAGAGTCGTTTAAGAGCCTCAAAAATAGTTTGAAATGATTCATATAACCAACATAACATTTTCTTAAAAGAGTCCAAAATGAGCCGTATATGAGGCCGATAAGAGTCCAATGTGACTTATATTGAGGCTCATTTGATGTATGAATTTAAGTTCATATATCTCGACCTTCGCTTTCATGAAGATTTGTTTGGGTACCTGGGTAGATAATAACTTGTTCCATTCAATTTGTATGAGGATTTTTATGCAGGAACAAAAAATATTTAAAAATGTCTCATATTCGAGGCTAATGATGGGCCACAATGGGATGCTACAGGACGCATCTTGCAAAAAGCTGGCTGTTACATGTGCTACGGAGACTCCAAAAAGAAGAGCGTTATTTGGCAAGAATGCGTCAAATGCAAGAAGCCAATATGCGCCGAACCTTACCTCACACGAATGAAGTAACAAACCTGCTAAAAAGGCTCCCTTCAGAAAAATGCAGATTACGTGAAAAAAGTATAGTTTATTTTATTACTTAAGATTAGTTTTTATTAATAAAGTAAGAAAATCAATATATGTTCATATAAGTTGCAATGTACGTACCTCGGTATATACATATTTATTAAATCTTGTATACAAAAAATTGACGAAAACCTAACATTAAATAATTAATTTTATTTTTTCTTGAAAATTTGCAAAAATTTGATAACTGAAGAAAAGCATTTTGAAATTTGACGAAAACTCTCGAAGCTTTATATCGATCTTTGTTAAGAATATTTGCTTTGGCTATTGTATATATCCAAAATATGGCTTACTAAACGTTTAGTTCATTTGTCGTAATTCAATTTTATTAGCCGCTTGCCAAAAATACATTGTGCGGCCTATGTGACTGTATGTATGTACATATGTGTATGCCAGCAGTGCAATATGTATCATTTAAGTTAAAATTGGAAATGCTATCAAAGTTTGCGTCACAGCAGCAGTAGCAGCAGCACCTTGACGATCACTGATAACGGATCAATACCGATCTCGTTTTTCACAGGCGCCGATAACAGAGAAAGCGTGACATCTTTTTTACATGTCGATGGCAATTCAATTGAATTTATTTAGTTTTTTATTGACTTTTTAAATTAGTACAGATGTTCATTTGTAGTCACATTCATACATACATACATACATACATACACACATGCATGCATGTTATATATTTGGCATGCATTTAAATGTGAATTGGTATGCACTTGCGCACGCCTCAGCATTTATTCGCGAATGAACAGTCAGTCAGTCAGTTAGTCAGTCAATTCAATTGATCGCACAGAATTTTCAAGTGCAAAATTTTCTATTTACAATGCGCATACATACATACATACATATAAACAATCGATTGTGTTTACATATGGTATGTACAACGCACATCGCTACATACAATGCAATATTTTTTGTATAATTTTTTTTTTTCTCAAATGAAATCGAAGTGATAAACGATCGCTCGGAAACTGAGCTAACAGGCGTACAGCAGTTGTAGGGAGGAAGTGCCACCTGTAGCAAATGAAAAAAAAAAAAACGAAATACACTACAACATCAACACCATTTACTCGTAACGAAAAAAAAAAAAATCAACACAAACATGTTAGCACATTGTTGATTTCTATATATATTTGCATTTTTTAAAGAAACCGTTTTTTTTTATATGTGCTTTTTTCTTTGCTACCTTTGAGTTGTTGTCGCTGTGCAGTATTTTTATTGTTGTTCAAATTCAAATTTAAATACGCAAATGACAGCGGCGGCTAAGGTGGCCGGCCCGGCAGGCGTGGGGCCCAAGTAGTCAGTCAGTCAGCCGGCAGACGGACCCACTGCCTATACTGCTGGTCAATCAAGCGCACACCGACGACGACGCTGACGATCAGCGGTAACATGGTGGAAACACGAGACAGGCACAAGTCAAGAAATCGACTCAGACTCAGCTACAAAAACCACATAGAGTATTACGTGCCTTTTTGTAGCCTAATAAACACTTGTACCTATGTAGTAAATATTTAGTACTAATAGACAGCACTGCTGTGCTCATTCGTCGCCTGATAGTGTCTTCTTCATCGAAATCAACTCGGTGGCGCTAATTAATATGTATGTAATTAATGTTTGTGTGTATTACTCGCACATAAGTATGCGTTTACACTAATGCATTGAACAAGTGGCTATGTATTTACTAATATCATGTTAATTTCCCTATTGCTATGATTTTATTGTTGTGCCTATTTGCATATTTACAATGACTTAATTGACTTTACTATTTAACTAAGCTGCAGCTATCAAAAAAGTTGGCATTCAATTCATTCATATTGACTACTTAAATACTAT